TTGGTGGGGCTGGGATTGTGGCTCAGTGGCAGTGACTTGCCTTGCACATGTGAAGCACTGGGTTCAATCCTCAGCACCGCTTAAAAAGTGAATGAATAAATAAATAAAGGTGCTGTGTTCATCTACAATTAAAAAAAAAGTTGGTTTTTGGTTTGTTTGTTTGTTTTTTAAAAAGACTGACCTGGTGGTCAAGAAAGCAATATTTCAGGGATGGTCAGTATTCTTAAATTAGGTTTTCCAAAAAACTCAACATTATTAGAAATCATTAAAAGCTAATGTTTTCAGAAAGAAGGATTCACCTTTTCTCTTAATCCCTCCATCAGCTGAAAAACACACATCTCTATCCAGAACATCTTTGCCTTATACCGACAATGCATCATGTAAACTAAAATGATTAATGTTCTTGGATTTTCCTGCTTTTTAAAGTAACTTTAAAAAAAAAAATCACATTTGAACAGAGTACAGTGTAAAGTCAATCATGCATTACCAGTTCCACTTTCCTATTTTTAGCATAATGGTAATATAGAAGTTTTAGAGAAATCTAAATCATGATTTTTTTAAAACAAGGAAATCTTCCTAACCACATAMGCCATCTATTTACCCAGCCCTCCTTCAGAAGTCACACACACACAAAAAAATCAATTCAAGTAAGTTATGCTTATTTTCCTCAAAAGACTACCACATTCCTTGGATTTTAAAAACCTTCTAAATGCATTTGCCAAATTTGGCTGATTTCATCCTCAGACAAATCTAACTGTTCCCACAGTTTTGGGTAAAAGGAAGTTGATGCCAGGAGGAAATTCTATATTAATTGCACCAGGACCCCTCATTAAAGCCTCCATAACTTCAAGGGGCCAATGACAGGAGTAGGAAATCATCCTACATGTCTTCAAACAGAGCCTCTTAGGGCAGACACTACCATCCCCAAAACCAGATATGGGAAATAAGGCTCCGATGAAAAACAATTCACCCTATGTCACTGAACCCTCTGTAGCAAAACCAAGACTAGTGAAAAGAGAGGGTGGGAACTCAAATTTAACGGAGAATTAGGGCTTTGGTCATACATACACCATCTGCATACATACAAACATACATACAGAAAACTAAATTAAGAGAAGTGAGTCCCTCTGCAGAGAGGGTCCCAAGGAAAAAAGCAATATTCCACACTGAAAAAAGAGTTTCTAACAGAAGGTCTTATGATAAACACGTTTGTGAAGGCTGGGCAGGGCGGAAAAGGGTTACTCAAATTACTCCAGCAGAGTTCTTAACAGGGCTCCTTCACCTCTCTGGTCTTAAAATCTAATCTGGTTTAAGAGCACACGGGCTCTACGTAAAATTCTCCCAAATTCCATCAGGCTTAATAACCTCTATTCAAAAGAAGCAGAAGCAGGCACTAGGGCAGAGGGAAGTGACCTACCCTCCCTCCAGGTCAGCTGTCAGATCTACAGGCGACCAWGAGACAGCACAAGAGACCCCACACACACATACTCGATCAGTCAGTCCCACCTTCCCACTCCCAGTCCTGGCCCAGTCGCCACCTCGTTAACCATCCCATCACCTCCCGAGGCACAAATAATTACACTGGAAGAATTTGTTAAAACAAGTAGGAGCCCATATTCAACAACTGGCTTCGCAACTTGACAGACGAGGCTCTAAAAAGGGAGGGGCAGGAGAATAATTGTTCTAAACAACGTCTACGAAGTCGGGGAGGTTGAGGCGGCCATGCAGGGAGGGGAGCCAAGACAAACGATCCCTACGTTTTAGGGAGGAGAAAGCCTTCCCATCAACAACCGAGGTTATAAATGTATGTAATGTTTTTTTTAAAGACGACCTTTCACGCTGTGACACTTGTGGGGGATTTCTTGTCTGTTCCTCCACTTGATGGGTAAAGAGGGGGTTCAGCGGCTCCCCAACCTAGAATGTAAAAAACCATGGCCTGGAAAGTAACAAGGTGACTCAGTTTTATTAACTCCAGAAGGGTCCACCTGCCATCCCGCAGCCACCAGACCAGCACGACAGCCCAAGGCCCCCACGCCCACCTTCCCCGAGAGGTGTTTTTCAGAGAGCGGCTTTGCGCGCTCCCTGGCCTGCCAGCTACCCCCACCCTCGCGGTGTCTCGGACCAGCAGCCTGGTTAATCATTCAACGCGGGCAGCGTGGAAATATTTTTAGAGGTCAAAGCGAAAGGTTCTCCCTAAGTTTCGCAGAAACCAGTCTATGGGGAACCGGAGGTGGCAGTGCAAGAGGTTGGGGGTGGGGAGCGGGTGCCGGCGGCTCCCTGGCTCACAAAACACCTGATCTCCCCATGCGGCACTGGAGACCAGCGCAGTGCGAGGGTGGGGTGCGGGGGTGCCAGAGAGAAATCGCACACGGCTCCCCTCCCCCAAATACCCAGATACCCCAGAAGAGGACGCCCCGACCCAGAAGCCCCTTCCCAAATCCTGCAGCCCAGGGCGCGGGATCCCCCGGAAGTTAGGGTGCAGAGAGGAGGGGGAATGTCCCTGGGCCCCAGGGGGTGGGTGTGGAATGGAGCAGGAGGCTCCAAAGACGCGCAACTGGGGGTTTCGTTATCCTCTTCATCTAGGGTTCGGAAGATGCAGAAACCCCAGCGGAAGGCAAGAAGCGTAAATGCGGCAGAAGCCACTTAGGAACGGTTTCCTCCGCCGGGGCGCCGGTATGGAGCCGGAACTGGAGAGGAGGTGGGAGGAAAGAGGGGGTCCAGTCACGGGGCCCCGAGGAGTGAGTTGGGAGGGGGGCGGACAGAGTGGGCCCGGATAAGCAGCGGGGGAGGGAAGAGCGAGAAGAAAAGAGGTGGGGGTGACCACCCGCTAGGGCCCTACCTTGTCCAGGAGCAGCTCCAGCTCGGCGGGGCGGGGGCGGGAGATCTCGGCCTCATCCACGTCCCAGCCGCTCCGCGCGGCTCAGCCCGGCGACCGCCGCCGCTCACGCTCCATGCGCGGCGCCCGGGACGGGCGGCCCGGCGGAGTCTGCGGCGTGAACAGTTCCGGCTTGCCTCCAGCACTTGTTGCCTCCGCAGCCGCTACGCCTCTCTCAAGGCTCCGGCTCCCGGCGCCGCGGCTGACTCTCGGCGCCCGCCCTGGGCCCGCCCCCGACCGACGCGCCAATCAGGCTCGGCGCCGCCCCTCGCGTCACCGCCCAGCACCGGAGTCCGCCCAGCGCCCCAAGTTTTGGGAAGGCCRGTCTCCTGCCGGCCAGCTACTTGGCTCCCTGGACCCGCCCAGGCTCGTGCTTCCCGTGGCTTCCGGGGACCCAACGAACTCTACGTCCACACCTAGCAAGCAAGGGGTTACACTGGAGAAAAGGGACCCCCTAGGAAATAAACCCTTCCCGAAAAACAGGGCAGCTTGAAACTTTAAAAAATCACTTTTAACTCAGTTCTAACCTAAATGTCTTCAGTTGGCCCCTCTTTGCAGTCCGCTCCATGCAAGGARATTTCTTTTCCTCACTTGATGAGGACCCCAGTGAGCTTTCCTGGCCAGGGCTATGTGTGACTGGGCCTAGAGTGAATCCCAGCMGCCCCTCAGGTGCAGGGGTGGGTTAGAAATCGTTCCGCAGTGGGAGATGGTGGGGGAGCGGGCACAGGGACAAAGTGGAACCTGACCTTTGTTTCATGCCCACTCAGTACCTGCAGCCACCTCTTGGATGCCCGAGGTCTAGGGTGGTGCCCACTGGGCACTGCCACAAGATCCTCGGGTTTATGAAGCCGCCCAAGACCTTTGGGGGAGTCTTGTTCCTCCTAGCAGTGAAGTGCAGAGGGTTTCCTCGAGGTCCCCCTCGTGTCTCAGGAAGCCGGAAATGCAAGGTGCCTGGCGCGGGGCTGCTAACCCGACGCCGCAGTCCAAAATGCAGGTACCTAGGCATAGCCAAATAGCTGAACGCTGACCCCTCGCGACATTGCTCGGCTCGGCAAGCTGGATGGAGGCTAGGCGTCAACCACACCCACCAGCCGGACCTCTCTGAGCGCCGAAGCGTCCTCCTAACCCAGCGCCCCTGCTGTCTCGCCAGAGCACTACATGCCACTAGGAGTCCGGCCGGCTGACACCACTTTAGGGCCCCAGGTAAACCTGGCGCGACCGGATGGAGAAGTTGCGCGGGTTCGAAAGGTCCAGCCTAGCTGGCAAGACCCGCCCAAGGTGCACCTGCAAGCGCTGCCTCACCTTGTCCTTACTCCCCTGGGCTGATCCCCTCTGGGTAATCGTTCTGAGGAATTAACTATTTGCAATTATTATTWTTTTTTCTCAGAAAGCTGTCAAGAGGTGAAGTTAGCCAAAGGGAGGGAATTGCTAATGTAAGAAATTTCGGGTACCTTCAAATTCAGCTCAATCCATCMTCACCATCAGCACCTAAAGAGCACATTGTCGCTGGATGCACAGAGCCACGTGGGTATGACCCTCTAGAAATAAGGATTGTGAGTCAGTGGATCTGGAAGGGCTATGAACTGCAGTCTCAAGATCTTCCTGCTTTTATGTTGATCACATGATTTTACTAAGACTACGACTTGAAATCCAAGAAACAAATTGTATTTTTGTGTATTCCTAGGAGAGACATTTGAAATGATGCACATGGACCATTAACCATAGTTACTGGAGTTTGGGATGGGGGCGGGTAAGAAAGGGAGGTAAATTTAAAAGGGCATACAAAACTTGAATGTTGTTTTTCCAGTTTTATTTATTCCCATAATTTAGAAAACTAACAAAACTTTTAAAGAAACAAATTAGAAGAAATCTACAGGAACTGTACATTAATAGATAAATCAATTCGTGTAAAAATAAATAATCTTAAGTCATGTCCCTTGGTTTAAATAAAGATGTTTGTAGGCTCTGTTTTGATCTTTAAATGTTGTAAGGGGGCAAAGCTGATATCTGAAGAAGATCCTTCTAAGCTATCAAAATGATATTTTGTTACTGTGCGAGTTTCTTCTTTTAAAATTCATTCCCAGTAGCCACAGACATGCTTTCAAGGACTGCCAGCCAAGCAGTTTTTAGTAAAGGAACTGCTACAATGTCAGCTAGCAACCAACAAGAAAATTAAGCTTGTGTCCTTCACAGCTGCCAAAGGCTGCCCAGGCCCTGAAATTTAAAAATAAGGGCATTCTCTCCAAGTTGCCATTTATTAGTCCAACTTGGAGTGTATTAGCAACAGTCGTTCTGACTTGGGGGAAAAATTCAATGTAGAATTCAAACCCACTTATCTATAGTCCCTATTCTTAGTTAAGGACTGGGTTCATCATCAGTAGGTAGAGGTTTTATTCATTTATTCAACAAATATGTGCTAACTACTTATGAGGTGCAGAGCAGAGGGCTAGGCATTGGAGTAGTGAACATGGCAGACATACTGTTCCCTCTTGGAGCTCACAGTCTAGCTGGAGAAAGGGGTTTAACAATTGAATACACTTAAATAATTGCAATTATGATATGAACCAAAGTGAATGTAAGGTGGTGGGACCATTTGGGAAGTCCAAGAGAAGTTCCTGGCTGGTACAAGCTATCAAGGGTAAAGGTGGAGATGTAGGCAGGGTCAGAACATACAACGCCTAGTATAGCGTGTTACAGAGTTTGGACCTTATCTGAAGAGCCATCTGAAGCTAGAATTGTATGCTCAAATTTGCACCTTGGGGCCAGGCATGGTGGCACATGTCTGTAATCCTAGCAACTCAGGACTCTGAGGCAGGAAGATGCCAAGTTTGAAGTCAGCCTCAGCAACTTAGCAAGGCCCTAAGCAACTTAATAAGATCCTGTCTCAAAATAAAGAAGACTGGGGATATGGCCCTGGGTTCAATTCCCAATCACCCCCCCCAAAAAAATGCACCTTGGTTAAGATCACTCTGACTGCAATGTGAAGAAGGCAGTGGGGAGGGGTGGGACTGAAGGACAGTTAGGAAGGTGTTTGTCTAGACAAAATGGTACAGTCAATGAAAAGTAGATACCAACAAGACTTGGGTCATCATTCAGATAAGGAGGAATCAAGGAAAACTCCCAGATTTCTATTGATTCAATCAAGTGGATGATGGTAGCATTTATTCTACCCTTTTCTCCTGGGTTCCCTATATCAGATGGTAGAATAAATGCTAACAACGTTCAAACATGGTCAAAATAGTTTGGGATGCCTGTGAGATGTCCCAGTAGAGATGTTGAGCAGGTAGTTGGTTATATTCTGGTGCTTTGGGGAGAGGCTGGGCTGGAGTAACTGGTGTAGTTGTGGTGGTGAAGCTACAGGAGTGAGGAGGTCTCATGGGAGAGTGCACAGTAGACCAGAAGATGGCCTAGGACTGATCCTTGATGCATCCTTATCTCAGATCTGAACAGAAGCAAACTGTCTGGCAGAAGAAATTGAAGAGCAAGCAACTAGAGAGGCAGGAAAAAAGCTAAGAGCTTGAGGAGATGGTAGGTAGCAGAGCCCAAAGGAGCCAAAGTGCTATGAGAAAGAGGCGGGATTCAGCAGCCCTCAAGATATGAGACCAGTATGAAATAAAGACTGAATAACATCCACTTGATTTGGTGACCTTGGTGTCACAGACTTTTAAACCGGGACTAGTGGAGTGAAGGCATAGGGCAAAGATTGGAATGGACTGAAGACATGAAGAAAGGTACCGAGTGAAGGCAACTTCTGTAAGGTTTGCCTGTGCAACTCCAGGAAGAGAACTAGCTAGAGAGGGATGTTATGTCAGCAATGGATTTGCTCATTCTGGTTTATATATTTTTATATTTTTAGGATAGTAWAATTTGAGTGTATTTAAACATAGATTGGGAGGATCCCATAGAGAGAGGAAGACAAAGGTACAGCAGGGAGAGGACATGGTTTCCTGTATCCAAGGGGGAACGGAATCAGAGTGAGTGGAAAGGCTGATCTCATGCAAGCAACCAACTTTACCTTTGTAACAGAAGGAAGAAGACTGCAGGAGGCTGCACCAGGRAGGTTTGGTATGGATAGCTAGACCTTTTCACCTGAAGACTTCCTAATCTGTGACATAAGGAGGATTGTGATGACCAGAGAAACAGACAGATAGCAAGACTGCATTACGTTCCACCTGAGGTTGCTGGCTTTCCTCTATGGTTTCTTCCAACAGCTCAGTGGTCCACTCTGGCACAGGCCCAGGTGAGGGAATTGCTAGGGAAGAAGAGCAAAGAAATTGAGAACATTAGCCATGCTGCATGATCAGAGAGAAAGGACAGATGTCAATGGGCTGGAGAGCTCAAAGGGATCACATGAGAAAGAGAAGAGATTGGTCAGAGATGTGGATGCTTAATGTGGGCTCAGAGGGTGTGGGCTCAGAGGGTGTGGGCTCAGAGGGTGACCTGTAGGGTCATGGCAAATCTAGCATGTGATAGGGGAAAAGTAGAGAAGAAAGTCATTGAAGAATGTTAGGTCAAGGAGTTAAGAGGCAGCGTACTGGATGGGTCATATGTATGAGTGAAGTTGTCCTGGATGTGGATGGGCACTGGGATGTGGTATGAAGGCCATGGAACCAGGAGTTAGAGCAAGGAAGAGGGAGTAAACAGGAGATCAGAAGATGGAAAGAACCAGGAAAGGGAGAGGAAATATGACTGAGGTGACAGTCTCCTCAAAAGAGCAAGACTGTTTGCAAGAGGTGGAGGAGTGGCAATTGGTAGAGGATCCACTCTCACCTCTGGACCCTGGGGGACACAGTGAGTGAGAGTTGACAGGTTCAACTCCCAGTGCTGCAAGGGAAGAAAAGAAAGTGAGTTAAATTTTGAGCAGAGGTGGATGAAGGATGGATGGATAAACTGTCGGATGCACAGATTGATGAAACCAACATTGATTCAGCTTGCATGTTGAAGTCTATAGTTCCAAAGATTGAAAGATTTGGGGRCAGCGGGTGAGTAGAAGGGATAACTCAGGTGCCAGGAAAAGCAGAGTGTTATGGCATGATGGAGGGAGAGAGGATCCATAAGCGAAGATRAGGAAGACTAGAGTGAGAGGCACAGTGGATTTTGCCTTAGTTGTCTCTTTCTGAAGCCTAACTCATGTAGCTCTTCAGCCAAGGCCACATTCCCTCACTTTCTTTTCCTTCCCAAGATTTC